AGCATCATACCAGGCTCGCGAAGCCTGCTTCAGGAAGTAGATGGCCTGCGGAAGATGACAGCCATGATTAGGACGTTGAGGATCGACAAAACCTGATGGTTGAGACATGTAAAGAACTTTTTGGAGGGGGCCTTGCAAGAATGCATTCTTGACGTCAAACTACGAAACTAGCCATTGTTGGGACAGTGCAAGAGTGAACACCGTACGAATAGTGACAGGCTTGAGAACTGGACTGTAAGTCTCAGAAAAATCAACACCAGGGCGCTGATGGAAGCCCTTGGCAACTAGACGAGCCTTAAAGCGCTCGAGGGAACCATCTAGAAGCTGTTTCATGCGATATATCCAACGGTTGCCGACGACGTTGAAGTGTGGCTGACGAGGAACAAGATCCCATGTACGGTTGGAACATAAAGCATCAGATTCTTCATGCATAGCCCAATTCCAATGAGGACACCGCAAGTCTTCTTGACTATACGAGGAAGCTGAAGGAGAGTGGCCTGCGACGTAGCATATGTTGCAAAATAGCGAGGGTTAGGCTTACGAATGTTGTCACAACCTCTAGTGACCATGGGGTTCCGAACAACCGACGGAGGAACTAGAGCAGAGACATCCTCAACAGCCGGTGGTCGTGACGGGATATGTGGCGTCACTGGAGAGGACGGAGGAGAGGACTCAGGGAAGTCGCCGGCGGCGGCGGGGCTGCTGGCAACGGCATGTACGTGAGAGGAGGGGTAGTGGCAGCAAGCCAGACAGGAGGATCAACAAGCAGAGATAAAGAAGGGATACCAGGAAACTCAGTTTCAACAAAGACAACATGATGGGAAAAGTAAACACGATTTTGGTGAGGGTCAAAACACTTGTAAGCACTTTGTTGATGAGAATAACCGAGAAAAATACAGGGACGAGATCGAGACTGTAACTTGTGAGCACTGCACGGGCGAAGCCAATGAAAACAGAGACAACCAAAAATACGAAGTTTAGTGAAATGAGGAGGCTCGTTGAACTGTTCCTGAAACGGGATACGAGCACGAAGAGCAGAGGAAGGGAGTCGATTAATAAGATAGATAGCAGGGGTGAACGCATATGACCAGTAAGAAAGGGGTAACTTAGCTTCATGAAGGAGAGACAGGCCAGTTTCAACAATATGTCAATTCTTACGTTCGGCTAGGCCATTGTGTTCAGGAGTGTGAGGTGGGGTGAGAATATGAGTAGTAGCACTAGAAATTAAAGTGGATTTGAGTTTTTGAAATTCACCACCACCGTCAGTGTAAATACGCTTAATACGAGTCGAAAAATAATTCTGAACAAGTTTTTGAAAGTCAATGAATGTGGCGAAGACATCAAACTTGTAGCGAAGAGGAAAGAGCCAAGTATAAAGAGTAAAATGGTCCACAATAACTAGGAAATAAGAGAAACCATCAATAGACGAGACAGGATCAGGGCCCCATACATAAGAAAATAGTAAATCAAACGGGCGAGTACTAGACAAACGGGAATCAGAAAATGGTAGTTTATGACTCTTACTAGAAAGACAAGACGTACAAGGGGAAAGAGAGGACTTCGGGTGGACTGGGATGGGATGGGTATGAATTAAACGAGACAAAGACTTAAATAATGGATGGCCAAACCGACGATGCCAGCAATCTACGGAGTTTCGAATAGTGACCAGCACCATTCGCACAACCTGCGACGCGCCTGGAAGCTCGTAGGTGTCTTCTCTATTCCTTCCTTTCAGTAGTGGCGCCCCATGCTTAGGTCTTTCACAACAAAAGAGTCGGCAAAAAATTCAACCCAAACAGGAATAATGCGGCAAAGCTTAGCAACATAGATCAAACACTTCTTGAGAGTAGGAACACAAAAGATGCCATGAAGAGTAAGCGACTTGGAACCAGACGAACAAAGAGAAGAGGAACCAATATGTGTAATACGCAAACCTATTCCATCTCCAAGATAGAGCTTGTTGGGTCCATTGTAGTCAAAATAGAGCCTGAGATTACCAAGATCGAGGGTAATATGGTGCGTAGCAGCACTATCCATTAGCCACAGATCATAACAAGGAGCGGATGAGGAGGAAACACCAGAAGTATGGTTAGCCTGAGCCGGACGCTGCTGAGGAAAGAGTAGGAAGCACTGGCGGGCATAATGGCCAGGCTTCTCACAGTATTGACAGTAGATGCAAGGGCGACGTTGATCGCTGCCGGAGTCGATCAAGGGAGGAGACCAGGAGACAGACTGGGAAGACGAACCAGATGGTGGAGGGTCACCAGAACCAGAGCGGCCACCACCGCGGCCAGAGGGTCCACCACGTCGACCACGATACTAGCCATGCTCACGTTGGGTGGCAAAGGCAGTAGCGGGCTGGCGAGTGACGTTGAGATCAACCTCCAAGGAGATAAGGTGATCAAGGAGGTCCTCTAAAGAGGGAGGGACTTCTCGTGCCCGAATACCAGCAGAGAATTCACGATAGTCATCGCCGAGACTACGAAGACAGATAGTGGCAGATTCATCATTGAGAACACGGGAGCCAGCGAGAGTCATCTCAGATGCAATCGAGTGAAGGAAGTGGAAAAACGTGACCACATCACGATCACCCTTCTTTTCAGCAATTAACCGATCATGGAGCGTCATAACACGCGAACGAGAGTTGTTCGCATAAAGGCAAAGCAGTGAAGTCTAGGCTTTAGCAGCCGTAGAAGAAGCGTTGATGGAAGGGATGACAGCTTCGAAAACTGAAGCAAGAATGCCGTTGAGGAGAAGCTGATCCTGTCGAAACCACTGAGTGTAGGCGCGGTTCCGAATAGAGTTGTCGTCAACCACCGTGGTCGAAGCTGGTGGGAGGACAGTGTCGTCGAGATGACCAACGAGGTGGAGGCCGTGAAGCAGCGAGAATAACTGGGCGCGCCAGGAGGAAAAGTTGACAGCGGTGAGCTTGAGCGGGAGAGAAGCCATGAGTAAGGAAGTCGTAGCAGTGTACCATTTGCAAAGACTTCTATAGGGAGATTTGGGTTGATCTCCAAACCCGATCTGGTCACGACATCGCTCCACGTCTATACGAGCTTCGTCGAACAATCAACTCCCTTCAGCAAGAAAAAAAATCCTCTGTAGCGGCCTTCTTTAATTCACTAAATTATGTGGTCTTAGTTCCAATGCTTATATCTGATGACTGAATTGAGTAATATTTTGTTGTTGGGATTTTCTCCTAGTGGCATAAAAAATATTGTCAATGAAAATTACATTATACTATACAATTTGTACTTGCTAATTAAAATAAGTAACTAAATGAATTTATGTTATTGATATCCAATTTTTCATTATTTTATTGAATTATGAACAAAACATATTTTTGTTTTCATTTTTGTATTGTTTCTATTCATTCTATATTATCACAGCATCAACGACAACACAACAATACTAAACGGAGTTTAAGGGGTCATTTTGTAAGTTGAGATTGTTAAATAGATGTATTGTTGTCAATACATGTATAATATTATACATGTATTGTCGAATTTAATGCATTGTAAAATACAATATTTGGTATGTGTGATTGTGTATGTCACGTCAGTTATATGAGATGAAACAATCTTAGATACTAACTCAGATATAACAATCACTACATTGCTTGAGCGATGACGGAGCGAGACCAAACCTGGAGGTTTACCTACTTGAACTCTTTGTACCCTCCAGGCTATGTGACCATTGACATAAGGTGCTACTGAAGCTACACGCGGCCACCATGGACCGAACCAGGGACTTTGTCCCAAAGTTATCACACGGACAGGCAGCGCTACCACTTGAGCTACAGCCTGTTCGCAACAATCACTAATTTTGAGTGATAGTTTCTTTCACTTCACATAAACAAATTCATCCGCTATCCTCACTAGTCACTCCTCAGAAAATGAAAGTAGAACGTACACGGCATTGCACAAATTGGTGATCCATTTTGATGGGCTTATAATCTGGGCGCGACTTAGGATAGGGTCAGTAACCATTGGTTACTGACCTATGAGTAACTAAATCTGAACCTTTAGATCTAAGTGGGTCCAGAAAATTCAGATCTAAGGGTTGTCAATTAAAGGCATTTTATTTTCCCTAGTTTTCTTAATCGGCTCTTATCTTCTTCGTTCTAACTCGGATTTCAATTTTTTTTTGCATAGATGGAACGAGTTCGTTGTGCTCTACAAAATGAGATCAATTTTCAATATATTTTGTTAAAAAAAATTTTACCAACTACATACCATATGGTAACTTCTTCGTTTTTAAGTCGTTTTTGAAAATGTTTGCTCAGAAGGAACGAGTTCATTATGATCTATTGGATCTATAAATATCTGGGTGAAAAAAATACTGGATAAAAAATTATACTTTACCACTATGGTATGGGGGTGGTAACTTGTGATAAATTGTAGTAAACAATGATGAAAGTCGTAAATGACAGTTAGCATACTCCTATTATCATGTATTCAACCTTCTTACTATATTGGTATGTTCATACCATCATCGTACGCTTTCTTACCATATGGTATTAAATAGGAGCATACCATATGGTAATGACTGGTAAAAAATTATTCAATTTTTTTGTACTAAAAATATATCAAAGTGAATATCATTTTAAAGAGCACATTTAATCTGATTTATCTGTGCAAAAAAATTTAAATTTCGACTTAAAACTAGAGAGAAATCGTCCGTTAAAGATTAAAGGAGAATATATAAAAGACTTTTCAGGAGAGAAAAGATACTAATGTCATGTTGATATAAATAGGTTACTCATGGTTATTGACCATAGGATTACTGACGTGATCCGTTCATCTGGGCGCGACCCAAATGCAACAGAAAGGAGAGCGGGAAGAACTTTCAATGTACGGGCTCATAGATTAGAAAGCCCAGTAAATGGAAATTTAGTCCTGAGGTAAAGCAATAGGCCCACAGTGAAATGGCCCGTCTTTCAGATGCAGGGTGCAGAAGGATAAAAAATTAAAAATGATTTCGGTTGCATTCTATAACCGCCTCTCCGTAACTTCCTTCCTACACCGGCGACGGAGAATCTCATTTCCGATATCCAGGCGGGGAAGCAACGAAGAACGTCAGAAGAAGAAAAAGAAACCGGAATGAGTTTAGCCTACTTTCGATTGTTCGATTTTTCGATATTTTCACAATTGAACATCGATGGATTTTCATTCAGCTGAGCTTATTAGTCTACCGACGTCCTTGGCCGCCGAATCGAAATCGGCAGTGACATGAACTGCAGAAAACCTGTGGGTAAGTTTCACTGGGATTTGCAACCAGCTAGACCTAAAGTCGATTGGTATCAACTGATTTGGGGGAAATATTCAATCCCTAAACACAGTTTCTTGAGCTGGGTAATAACACGAAACAGAATAACTACTCTTGGTCAGTTGCATAGCTGGGGGAAGGTGGCAAGAGCAGACTGCTTGTTTTGTTTGGCTCATGTAGAAGAAAGGGACCACTTATTTTTCAACTGTCCTTATACATTCCAGGTGTTAAAGGGCAGTTTACTAATGCTGCACTTAACTTGTCCTCAGTTAAGTAGTTTTGAAGATTATTTGCAGTGGGCAGTTCGAGCATTCAAGGGTAAGAAGGCTGCAGCCATGATAGGGCGACTGGTATGGAACTTAGTAGTAAGTCTGATTTGGAGGGAACGTTGTGGAAGGTTGTATGGTGGGAATGAGGTACAGTCTGGGGAGCTAATCAGGACAGTTCGAAGGACGATTGAATTAGCCAGACTTGGCAATGCAGCCCTGGATGTAGATTGCAGTATGATTTTTAGCTAGCAGAACAGTTAGTAGTATAGTTTGGTTTATTGTATGGCTGTGTAGTATTGAGTAGTAATTAGCAGCAGTATAGCTGCTGGTTGTAATGGTCCAGATGTGCTTCCCTTGTTGTAAAAGGAGCACATAGAGCTTAATAAAATTTTTTGATATTGCCCATCAAAAAAAAAAAAAGTTTCACTGGGATTTCCCTGTTGTGGATTGAGTTGGAAGAGATTTCTGATCCCATGATTCTCGTTTTCTGACAGGGGAAAGTGATGGAGGAGGAAGCTGCTGCCCTTTTGGAAGGCTGCTAATTTTGTCTCTGCCTGCGTAAAAGGTAACCTTGCTGATCCCAACTGCTACTGAAATAATTGCTTAGAAGGTCAGATTTCTGCTGGGAATTGAGTCATTGAACAATCATTACCCGCCATCTTTTGGGCACCGTTCACATTTGGAGAAGCAACGGTACGATGGTTTTGTAGCTAAATTTGCAGCTCTTTTTTCTTTCAGAGACTTGCCTTAAATCGTGTTCTTCATAACCAACTTGTCATCATCTTTACAGTTTACACTACATAGCCCAGGACCAAGAACGAGATTTGCATGTTCTGATTCTAAATATAGCCATAAAGCCTCTGCAAAAAGCTACCCATCTTATCTCTTGATGTAGAAATTGCATGTACTATATAACGAGTTGCTCTCCCTACTTGAATAGCTACACAAGACATTCATTCTTTACTGAAGACACAACAAAGACACTGCTGTTTTTGCACTCCTTATGGATCCTAGAAAGTTTGTTCTTGTTGCCATCTCAGTGGCACTGCTTCTGGGACTGGCTCGCAGCTTCGAGTACCGCGCTGAGGACTTGACGTCGGAAGAGAAGCTGTGGGACTTGTACGAGAGATGGAGGAGCCACCACACGGTGTCTCGATCCCTCACCGAGAAGCAAGCGCGGTTCAATGTGTTCAAGGAGAATGTGAAGCACATCCACAAGGTGAACCAGAAGGACAAGCCTTACAAGCTGAAGCTCAACAGCTTTGCTGATATGACCAACCACGAGTTCGTGAAGCACTTCGGTGGATCGAAAGTCAGCCACTACAGGATGCTTCATGGCCCCCGGAGGCAAACCCCGTTCAGTCATGGAGAAACAGACAACGTTCCTGCGTCGGTTGATTGGAGGAAGAATGGTGCAGTGACTCCGATCAAGAATCAAGGCAAATGCGGTAAGTCAAATTTGTTTCTCCCCCCAATTTTGTGATGTGCTAGAGCAATCTGTTTATGTTGTTTAAACCATCCAAAATATGATTCATTGCTTCACAGGTAGCTGTTGGGCATTCTCGAGTGTTGCTGCGGTGGAAGGAATCAACAAGATCAAAACAGGGGAGCTGGTGTCGTTATCCGAGCAGGAGCTGGTGGACTGCAGCAAGGACAACCATGGCTGCGATGGAGGGATGATGGAGCAAGCTTTCCAGTTCATAGAGCAAGTTGGTGGGCTGACAACTGAGACTAACTACCCTTACGAAGCGAAGGACGAATCTTGCAACTCTGCCAAGGTTGAGACTTCGAAACGATCAAATTTTTGCTTTCCTCGCATTTTTTGCTTATGAAAACTCCAAGCAACTTGTCTATTGCTTTTGTGCAGTTGAATGCTGCGGCGGTACAGATAGATGGTTACGAAATGGTGCCGGAGAACGATGAGAACGCACTGATGAAGGCCGCTGCCAACCAACCAATAGCCATCGCCATTGATGCTGGTGGCAAGGATCTCCAGTTCTATTCCGAGGCAAGACTCTACACTCTAGCTCTAGTCAGCTTCAACTTATTCCTTTTTTGTGGTTAGACGCGATCCCCTGATAAATTGTGACACTTGGTGAAAGCCGCAAGGTGATAGACCATGATGCCTTAATCACAATGGATGGCAGTTCATCTATAACTGGTGCGGTGGTGTAGTGTTCATGGCGGTTCCCTTCATGAGCAAACTGATAACAGAACTAAAACTTCACAAACAGTGAGGGTTTGGATTTGGATTGGGGTTGGGGTTCAGTCATTGTGGATATGTCTGAAAAGGTCATGAGTCAAACGAGTCCAATCATATAAAGTCAGGTTATGTTAGGTCACGCATGTAACTAAAATGGGTTTCCGTGCAGGGTGTTTTCACCGGAGACTGTGGGACGGAGCTGAACCACGGGGTGGCGCTTGTGGGCTACGGTTCGACCCTGGACGGGACGAAGTACTGGATCGTGAAGAACTCGTGGGGGACGGAATGGGGAGAGCAGGGTTTCATAAGGATGCAGCGCGGGGTAGATGCCGAAGAAGGGATCTGTGGGATAGCCATGGATGCCTGCTACCCTGTGAAGTCTACATCGACCAACAAGAAGAAACAAGGCTCACCTGCAGCTGGGAAGGATGAACTGTAGACGCGTATGTCTCCTCTCCTATTAAGTGACCTGCAAATAAAGAGAGGTTGAGAACACATTAAGAATAAAGACAGCATATATGTTGATGCTGGCGATGTTGGATTTGTAATCAAGATGTATCACCATGTTACTTATAGCTACAAGAATTTCCTGTGGTACTATGCATCAATCTATTCCAATCAGTATACAATCCTACCAAAGCTATTTATAGAGAATATGAGTAACCCAGTAACCCTCAGGCCCTCATAAGTCATTTGTTTAACGGTCGAGTTCTATAATCATATGTAGGGCTGCAAATGAGCCGAGTCGAGCTGAATTTTTCCTCAATTTGAGCTCGACTCGAATTCGGGTTAGCTTGCTTAATAAAATCTTAACTTAACTCGTATTTGAAATATTCATTTTGGATGTCGTACATGATACATGTGATTAATATCAAGATGAAAGAGGAAAAAATAATATCAAGATGAAAAAGAAAAAAAATAATAGTGAAGTGTTGAAAATTCTATTCAAAAAAAAAAAGAAGTGTTGAAAATCAACTAATCTCATGTTATACTTTGTGGTATCAAATTATTTAGTTATAAATTTTTACTAGTGAAAATTATGTTATTTCATAGTATCGAAGCAATCTATGATACATAATCTTCTCTTAAAATCAAATAAGACATATTTGGTCACATAATCTACGTGTTAAACTTCATACAGGATGAGATATATAATTTAACAATCCTATAAATTATCAAAATTAAACTCATATAGATCGATTCGCTCATAAATCAGTAATCGAGTTGGCTCTCCAGCCACAATGTTGAGAGTTGAGACATCTCATAAGCTCTAAACGAGCTAGCTCACGAGTTGATCTCAACAACCCATCGAGTCGAGCTAGCTCGCGAGCTCCGCGAGTTGCAGAAGGCAAGCTCAAACTCGACTCATTAGTAAATGAGCCAAATTTCGAACGAGTTTTTCCCGAGTCGAACGCCGAGAGCCGCTCGCGAGCAGTGCGGCTCGTTTTCCGCCCTAATTATGTCTTCAATCTAATTTAAATAAATTTCTATATAATTCACAACCTTCAATTTTTATATAATCGTTCAAGTGTTATCTACTCCATTCCGTAGGTTGTTGGGTCTTCGAATTTTTTTTATAATCGTAACAAGCACAGCAGGTTGTTGGGCTGTTGTATGAGCAGAAGAATGGGTCGGGGCTTCATACTGTTTGTTTGAGCCCGTCTAGTTGCTGTATGAGCCCAATACAGATTGTGAAGTAATAATAATACACTGATAATTGAACAGGGATGAAGCGTTCTTTGATCTTTGAAATTATTTTTTTAAAAATGAGTTAATACCCTAGTTTGGCCCGAACTTTGACATAAATGACCGTTCTGGCCCCGTTTTTCAAATAAGACATTTATGGCCTACTTTTGAAACTATTAGACAAATTTGGCCCAAATTTTTCTTTGACCGTTAATATTAACGGTCAAACAATATTCCGTTAGTGACTCAGCAAAAAACAGCTGATGTGGCTAATGCATGGACGCCACATCATTAACTAACACTTTTTCTAATTTTATAATTCAATTAAATAAAACTTAAAACAAAAAATGAAAAGATCCCCTCGACAACATTTGGGAATTGGAACCTTTCTTCCTAAGCCTAAATGAATCTCTTCCCATCCTCCCACATCCCTTTTCTGTCAAACATCTAACCCTAAATAGAATCTCTTCCCAGCCTCCCCACCTCCCCTTTCCGTGAGACATCTACGACTTCCCAGCCTTCCCTGCATCTCGAGCCTTCCCAGCCTTCCCTGCCACTCGCGACATCCCTTCTCCGGCGGATAATTGACGACAACTCGGCGGCGCCAAAAGCGACAAGGAGGAAGAAGAGGTGTTGTCGGCGGCGGAGGTGAGGAAGAAGATGGGGTTGGGGTTTTGATTTTTTCTGGATGTGGGTTAGGGAGTTTCTCGTTCAGAGGGTAGCGATAAACGGCAGGGGCAGGTTGGGGTTTGATCTGTGATGTTTGATATTGTTTTGTCGATTTTCTCTGATAACAAAATCATATGTTTGGTTTGGATTTGGGATGATAAGACTTAAGAGGGGATTTTGTTAATTTATTATAAAATTAAAATAATATTATTTAGTGATATGGCATGCCATATCAGCTGTTTTTTGCTGAGTTACTAACGGAAAGTGTTTGATCGTCAATATTAACGGTCAAAGAAAATTTTGGGCCAAATTTGTCCAATAATTTTAAAAGTATGCCATAAATGTCTTATTTGAAAAATGGGGCCAGAACTGTCACTGACGCCAAACTTCGGGCCAAACTAGGGTATTAACCCAAAAAAAAATTATAATGTTTTTGTTTCTTAGTATGTAATATTTATTTTTATACACACAAAACATAATTCTTTATATGAAGCACAGTTGCGGTGAAAATTATCATTGATGAAGAACCAGAGGACCTTACAACTGTTTCAGGATGAAGAGACGGGTCAATCGAGTCGGGCTTTCTTTCACCCGACTCGGTTCAGGAAACCCAACACATAAATAAGAGACCAACGACCCCGTTTCACTAAGCATTTGAACGTTGTCATTAGTTCTTGTAGTCTGCCATTGACGTGTTATTATAGGTCAGTTTTGATAGTTAGTTAGAATTAGCCGTTAACCTACAATAGCTTTACCTTTTCTGTAATTAAGCCTCTGTATATAAACTGATCTATGAAAATGGAGAAAGGTATTCCGCCCATTCCCACAATCTCGACTTCTCTTCTTCCTAAAACCCTAACATTTCTATTGCTAGGTTACAAACATTCTCATGGAATCAGAGTCTGGTTAGCTCATACCTATTTGACCCCTTCACGATTTCACACTCCTTGCTTCTTCATCGCTTTTTGTTGAGCTGTCCTAAAATGGCAGATGGAACCTCCAATGAGAAGGAAAACAAGGATGAGGAGATCTGTTAAGACTGTTATGAGGTATCAAGTGAGGGGAAGGGTTATCAGGTTTCTGCTTGGGTTGAATGAAAAGTATCAGCAGGTCAAGACTCAAATGCTCATGTTAGATCCACTTCCAGATCTATATAGTGTGTATCGTTCTGTTGTTCATCTGGAGAGACAACTTAATGGTAGGGCTGGCCATGCGGGCGGATCATCCGCGGGTTTGGGCCGACCCACCCGCATTTGACCCGAATTTCGTTAAGTGGGTGGGTCTGTGGGTGGGTGACGGGTTGCGTTGGGAGCCATCCGCCGGGTGGTGGGTGGGTTGTGGGTGAGTGTGCGGGTGACCCGCTCAACCCAACAGCAAAAAGATCAAAGTCGTTGGCGCTAGAGAGAGGAGAGTGGGGACATTAGATATAAACTCGGACTGCTCCTGGAGTTTGAACCTCAAAGCCAACCTTCCAAATAGAGATCCCCTCTTCTTCCCTTTACTTTTTCCTCTAATTCTTGTGCCTAGATCACCGCTCTTTCCTTTGTGGAATTATTTTCCTTAGTTCCTTGCACCTAATAATCGTCTCAATATGTAGAAAACTCTTTCATAATAGAATTTCTATCCAATTTAAGAACTAATTCGACATTTTTCGCTCTATTTCAACTTCTTGTTTCCCTCGATGATTCTCTTCACCTATTATCATGTCAAGTTGACTCCTTTATATTATATACATTGTGATGTGGGTGAACCCACAAACCCACCCGCATCATCCACCATCCGCCCGACCCAACCCGAGACTAAATGTGGGTGGGTGGTGGGTTAAAAATTATCAATCCGTTTAAGCGCGGGTGGATGCATTTTATGGTCAAAATCCACCCGACCCACCCAATGCCCACCCCTACTTAATGGGGCCAAACCTAATGCTGGGAAGTCAAAAGAAGCTATTTCACTTGCAACAACATTGACAGCCACTAGAACTCAATACAACCAGCCACGAGACAAAGGTCTTGTTGATTATGGTCAACAAACTGGACTGTTCCGTCGATACTGCAAGAAGGACAACAATGTCAAGAAGAATTGTTGGAAGCTTAAGAAGAAAAATGTGTTGTTGGGCAATAATCCCCAAACCTCAGGCAACAATACAGGTAGAGGAAGGCGTTTTGCTAGTTCAGTTGACGTTAATGCACCAGAGATGAACTCTTCAAGAGGAGAAAGCAATTACAGTCCAACTAATCCAGCTAGTCAACTCAACATGACTCAGGGTCACCAACTTTCTCTGGCTTTATCTTTGGTGAACTAACAAGGCTTAATGCATTGCTTCAATCTCCCTCTACTCACAACACAAGTCAAACTAATTCTGTTCTAACTAGGAATAGCATAGCAATGGCAGGTACAATTGCACTTTCTACCCCAAAGTCCTATGTAGATGAGGTGTTTTGGGTACTAGACATAGGAACTAGTGACCATATCATATGTTCAATTAAGTTGTTTCGTAGATGTAGGCAAATAGATAAGATGTCAGTGACCTTACCTAATGGTCATCATGCTCTAGCCACCCATATAGGAATAGTGAAACTTCCTTGTGGTATTTTGTTAACCAATGTGCTTCTAGTACCATCCTTTTCTTACAACTTAATTTCAGTCAGCCAACTTACCAAAAACAACACAGTCTCACTCTTGTTACAATCCACCTTTTATCATATACATGACTCATATCTCAACAGAGGATTGGCTTAATCCCAGTAAGTAGAGGCTTGTATCTTCTTGGATAGAACTTAGAACCACCCTTGAGAGACTTGCAGCCCCCAAGTTCTTGGAGTAAACACAACGACCTGTTCCAGTTCCAGTCTATGGCATCAAAGATTAGGCCATTTATCTTTTTCTAGATTGCAAGCAGTGAATAAGATTTGTAAAGAGATTAGTACACTTGTGAATTTTGATTGTGACATATGTTATTTAACAAAACAGAAACGTTTATCATTTCCTAGAAGTTCATCTAGGTCCAATTCTGTCTTTGACATGATTCATACTGACTTATGGGGTCTTGTGGATGTCCTTTCTCACGATGGATTTTAGTATTTTTTAACCATTGTGGATGATAACAATCGTTGTATTTGGATTTATTTATTGAGTTCCAAGTCTCAAGCACGTTCTTCATTGCAATCCTTTTGTGCAATGGTTAAAACCCAATTTGAGAAGTAGGTTAAGGTCATTAGAACTGACCAAGGCCAGGAGTTCAATATGACTGAGTTTTATCATAAGGAAGGGATAGCACATGAGATGGTGTTTACACAGCCCAGCAAAATGGAAAGGTTGAGATAAAAAAAACATTTGCTGAATGTAGATAGGTCACTGAAGTTTCAATGAGGGTTACCAACTAGTTTCTGGAGTCACTTGGTTCTTCGTGTTGCATACTTGATAAATCGAATTCCAACACTTGTTTTAGAGGATAAATCTCCATTTGAATGCTTGTATGGAATCCCCCCGGATTATAGCAGTCTGAGAGTTTTTGGCTGCCTTGCCTTTGTCACTATTGTTGACACACATAAACCTAAATTCTCTCATAGAGCAGTGAAATCAGTTTTCTGGGATACAACTTTTGGATCAAAGGGTTTAAACTCTATGATATTGATAGGCAACAAATTTTCGCTAGCAGAGATGTGCAGTTTAATGAAACTGGATTTCCTTTTCTCACTCACAACAATCCTTCCCCTTCTCCCTCCACTGCTATTAATGACTCACACAATCATTCATATCTCTTTTACACAGAAGAGCCTTCAACTTTATTGCCTTCTGACCACAATGTTCATGAAACCATTGATCCAGATTATACCCCACAGTCTCCTTCTGGATCATATTTTTCTTCTCATTCTTCTCCTCTTTCACCTTCATCTTCTACACACATTCCAGCATCTCTCCACACATTTCTGGTTCCCCCTCTCCAGGGTCTCTTCCTATTGCCTTGAGAAAACAAACTCATACCCTTAAAAAGCCAGCTCAGCTTGCAGTATTTCACACTTCTTTCCTTACTTCCACCAATAGCAATTTTGATTCCTAGCTTCTCCATCGTCTTTCTAGTACCATCACCTATTCAAACTTGTCACCATGACACATGTCATTTGCTCTATCCCTCTCTCTTGCTCCTAATCTTCAAACTTACCATCAGGCTGCTCCCCATGCTTATTGGTGAAAGGCAATGACTGAGGAGGTTCAAGCACTTTATACTAATCAGAACTGGGACATAGTGGATAGGTCTCCATCCATTAAATCAATTGGTAGCAAGTGGGTTTATAAAACCAAATTTTTGTCATATGGTCATGTTGTAAGTTCAAAGCTAGAGTGGTTGCAAAGGATTATACCCAGATTTTTGGACATGATTATGTTGACACATTTTCTCTAGTTGCTAAGATGGATTCTGTCAAGATTCTACTGGCAGTTGCTTCTATCCATCCCTGGCACTTACATCAAATGGATGTTAGTAATGCTTTCCGGCATGGTGACTTAGAGGAGGAGATCAATATGGAGTTGCCCCCTGAATTGAGAGAGATAAGTCACATGCAGGGTAAGGCATGTAAATTGAAGAAGTCCCTATATGGGTTGAAACAATCCAGCAGGCAGTGGTATATCAAGCTCACTGAATTTATTTCTCATATGGGTTTTACACAGTCTTATGAAGATTATTCTGCGTTTAAGAGTGCTACTGTCATTTTGGTGGTATATGTGGATGTTATCATCCTTGTTACTCCACGTTTGGAGGATATTGAAGCAATTAAAATGCAACTACATTCTGGATTCAAGGTGAAGAACCTAGGAAATTTGAAGTACTTTCTGGGTCTGGAGATTGCCAGAACATCATAGGGGATTTCTTTATGCCAAAGGAAGTTTTGTTTGGAAATGATTGAGCATGCTGATTTCTTTGAGTGTAAACCAGCAAAGACCCCTATTAGTATGAAATTCTCTCTATCTTCTTCTGATGGAATTTTACTGGATGATGGCATAGATTTCAGGCATATTCTTGGACAACTTCGGTACTTAACATCCACAAGACCAGACATTTGTTTTCATGTTCAAAAATTGTGTCAGTTTTAGGATTCCCCAACTACAGTTCATTTGAAGGCTTTGCACAGGATATTGAGGTATATTAAGGGGTGTCCAGGCCAAGGCTTATGGTTTCCTTCAAACATAAGTTTGCAACTAAGTGGTTTCAGTGACTCGGAGTGGGCTACCTGCCCTGATTCCAGGAATTCTGTTACAGGCTATTGTACTTTTTTGGGTAGTTCTCTTATAACTTGGAAGAGTAAGAAGCAGAGGACTGTCTTAAGGTCATCTTCAGAGGCTGTATACAAAGCCCTGGCTCAGTTATCATGTGAGGTACAATGGCTCAAAGATCTACTTGAGTTCTATGGAGTTTCTCATCCCCATCCTGTCAAGGTTTACTGTGATAATCAATCAACGATTCATATAGCTGAGAATCCAGTATACCACGAAAGGAACAAACACATAGTAGTCGACTGCCATGTCATATGAGAGAGATTAAAATCAGGACTGCTGAATCTTCACCATGTCAATACTGAATTCCATTTAGCATATATATTCATTGTTCACTAAGGGTTTATCTGCTGATCGGTTTCAGTTTCTGTTATGCAAGTTGGGTGACACGCTAAAACACAACACCAAACTGCGACCAAGTGTAATCGCAGTCCAGGAATGCAGTAAAGTAGCAAGTTCTATTATCAACCCGGGGTCTAGATCTACTGCCTACTCCGTGAATATCTATTATCTAGCCAACTAAGTCAAGTGATTGTTGTTTTAACTAAAAGCAGTAAGAAAGCATGAAATGGTTCGGTTTTCTAAAGCAAAGGAAGAGTCACTCGGGAATGAGTCCACATAGCTCCTTAGTTAGGTCTCAATTGTAATTACCCTGGGTTGATTTACTGTTGATTAAACTGCGGAAGATCCGACAGTAGCTTTGAATCTCTTAAGCTGACCAAGCCCTCTCAGTCAAACTACCCGGCAGACGACTAGTCTTCACCGGAATAGAAAAACTGAGGCTATGAACACAGAACTCCACTACTGGAATTGGATTCCAGTACAAAGCAGTAGATTGACTAACTCTCGTATAACCAATCTACTACTACCGAATGATGTAGCTCTAACAACCTAATCAGATTCTATCTATCTCAGGTTACAGCAGAAATCAAGAAAAGCTGATCAGACTTCAATTAATTCAATGAATCATGCATCATTCGATTATAATCAAGCAGTATAACAATCCCAAGTCATTACAATCAAAATCCCTAACACATGGAACTAGGGTTCTTCATACCCAAGTGAGAGAGAGTTCTACTCCATAGAGATAGGGGAAAACAGAATACAAAGCAGTCATACTCATAACAATGGGAAGAATCTGCTCTGGGATGATGATTTTCACTCCTATGATGATCTCCAAGCTTGATTTGATGAAACCCAGCTCCAAAACCACTCTTAGGATGAGTTCTTCGCACTTTCTCTCTCTAGGGCTCTGTTTTTGCTCCAAAAAGTCGATTCTCTCACTTTTGGCTCGAAATTGGGTAAAACCCCAGATTTCCCGATCACACGGGCAGGCCACACGGCCGTGTGGCTTACCCAGATGCCCGTGTGAGGTCCAAAACGATGCGTCTCGAATAATTGGACTTCGGGCTTCCCACACGGGCAAGGGCACACGGCCGTGTGGAATTTCCACCATGCCCGTGTGAAGCCTCGCAGAATCCCACACGGCTACAGGGGTGACTTGCACGGCCGTGTGGGTTCTAGGAATGCCCGTGTGATGTGACCAAAGTACGCAGCTTTCCTACTTTTTATGGGTTTTCGAAGCTTTTCTCCAACGAACAAGAACTCGAACAAAAGATAATGATGGAACACGATCAAACAGATTCCAACTCGTGTGAAAGGCCAATTAGTATATGAAACCAATCAAACAATCACCCACTCGTGAATAAGGCCAATCGCTATTGGGTAGAAGCTCGCCACAACTAGACGCGTTCTCTAGTTGATAAGAGACACGTGAAACTCCTGGAGCACTCTCAACAGAAGCTTGCACAAAGAACTAGTTCGTATGAACTTGTAACTTGAAAGTTGATTGATAATTGAATGAGTTACAATGAGGAACTCAGCCTCTTATTTATAGACTAGCTAACACAAATCCAAAGCTTAAAATGAAAAACAAATCCTACAAGTAAAAGGAAAAACACAATCCTTAAAAGACAAGTAAAAGGAAAACACAATCCTTAAAAGACAAGTAAAAGGAAAACACAATCCTTAAAAGACAAGTAAAAGACTTGGTCAACAACTCCCTAGATTCTAGCCTTGCAATCCTCCCTCACATGGCTTGTGTTCACACCTGATATTCCTTTCACACTTGTACTCCTTTTCACACCTTGTGTTCACACCATGGGAGATCTTCCTTCCTTCTACCAAGCCCATCTTCTCTTCATTCTAGTCCATAAATCGTAGCAATGTGATGGACTTTCCTTCTAGCAAGTCCACGTCCATCAAGAATGATCCCATTTGATCCTTGTATCGTCGTACTCGGACCTTCATCTTTGGACCACGAGAATTATATATTCTGCCAATGGATTTCACATCAACAAACTCGTAGGCCTTGCTTGAAATGACCTTTTCTTCCACCTTGAATGCTTCCAAGCTCTCTTTAAACCTCTTAAATCGTCTCTTGAACCATGGTCCATGTAGATATCTAGTTTGAGCTCATGTGACGTCATGCGGGGTGAGCGGGGTCGCATCATTCCCTCCCTCTTGAAAAAGATTTGACCTCAAATCTTGTTGTGACATATAAATTCTCTCCCGTGACTTCATTATTTTCCTTCTTGACCATGCACCTTGAAAACTAAGATGATCCACAAACTCTTGGAGTCTTCGTCTTTCTCTAATATGAGCCTCTATGTATGTCACTTCATCCCCAATAACAAAATCAATGTGGTCAATAATCTCACCATAATCTTGCATATGAATTGACTTACATTGAAGAGGGTTTTGACCATGCTCATGAGCAGAATTGGGTGGTGTGGGAGTACTTGATGCGTTGATTATGCATTGGGACGAAATTTGATGTTGTTGTACGGCTTCTCCCATGATAAAATCAACTTGAGTAGGTGATGACTCATTAATTGCTGGCTTCACATCTTCACTACGTGCTAGCATCAATGTCTTAGGCTCCAAGACACTAGTTTCACCTTTCTTCTGACCCACGACACTAGCTTCCTTCTCTTGCTCCCTGTTTTGTTGTAATTGTAATTGGTCTTCATAGACTTCCTTGGGAGACAAGGGCTTCAACACGACCTTATTTCCTTTATGCATAAATCGATATTTGTTGGAGACTCCATCATGTTGTGCGCTTCGATCGAATTGCCATGGTCTTCCAAGTAGGACGTGTGTAGCTTGCATAGGTACTACGTCGCACAGAACTTCGTCCTTATATCCTCCAATGGCAAATTTCAGAAGAGTTTGCCTTGCCACTTTAATTGAACCATCCTCGTTGAGCCATTGAAGCTTGTAGGGTTTGGGATGCTTGATTGTGCTCAATCCCAGTTTGCTAACCGCTATGGTACTAATAGCGTTAGTGCAACTTCCGCCATCAATCACCACGGTGAGCAGCTTCCCATCCACTACACATCTCGTGTGAAACAGGTTCTCCCTTTGCTCGAGGTCTTCTTTGGGTTGCACGCTTAGCATTCTTCTCGTGACAAGCAAACTTCCAGGAGGGGGCTCCATTTCTATTGATTCGTCAACTTCAGATTTTGATGGCTCCCTCGCGTGCTCCTCTTCTTCGGAATCCGAGACATATTCTCCATTCTCTAGTAGGACTAGAGCTCTTCGATTAGGGCATTGGTTGGCCATATGCCCTCTTCCATGACATTTGAAGCATTGAATGCCTCCACTAGAGCCTGTGGGCTTGTCTCTTGGTGCTTCAACCTTGGCTGCCTGTGTTGATGCTTCTAGCTTCGTTATGGCTGGCCTAGGGTTTGAAGTTGAAGGCGTTCCTGGCCTTGGTGCTACTTGTGGTGACGTGAATCTCCTCCCAACGTTACTACGTTGTTGTTTCTCCACTTTAGCTGCTATTGCAACCAAATCGTATAGATCCGCATAGGGGTGAAGTTCCACCACATTTCTAATTTCTCGATTAAGCCCATATAAGAATCGTGCAATGGTAGCATCACGATCTCCCTCCAAATCCGCTCGAATCATTAGCATCTCCATCTCGCGGTAATAATCCTCTACACTCTTGGTACCTTGGCGCAGAAGTTGTAGGGCTTGATGCATCTCTCTACGATGAGAACTAGGCACAAATCGATCCCGCATTACAGTTCTCATCTCTGCCCATGTCTCAATAGGTGGCTGCCTATTCTTCCTCCTCCTCATGCTTACTTGATCCCACCACACAATGGCATAATCCGTAAACTCGAGTGCGGCCACTTGTACTTTCTTCCTCTCAGAATAGTTGTTATAATCGAAGATCAATTCCATCTTTTGTTCCCAATCTAGGTAAGCCTCGGGATTAGTAGAACCTCTGAAGGATGGTATGTTGACCTTAATATTCCTCAAATCATCATCTTCATCTCGAAGGTAACCCTCGTCATCCTCAAATTCGACCTCTTCATCACGAGGCTGGCCTCGTCTTGCATGTAGTCCACCCATTGGCCGATGTCGCCTAGCATGTTCGAACACGGGTCGTTGTACCACCCTTCTCTCTCCATGATCTTCTTCTTCCCTCCTAGCCCTTTCAGCAGCAACATTAGGGTTAGGGTTTTGTGGTGCTTGCATCCGTGTTTCCCAAGCTTCCATTCTTGCATTTTGAGCTTGTAGCGCCGCTTGAATCTCCCTCTGGCTGGTGGTATGTGCTTGAAGTAACGCTTGGATTTGATCAGTCAATGCCTTGATCTCGTCTCCCATATTTGCGGCACTAATTACTCCTTCAAGATAGCTCGCAAGAACCTTCAAGAACGTAAAGACTCCTCCAAGATCCTTTACGATGACGTCAAAACCTTCAAGAACACGACAAGATTGCCAAAGAACCTTCTTCTCCGCTGCGTTTGAACCGGGATCTGATACCACTTGATGTGACCAAAGTACGCAGCTTTCCTACTTTTTATGGGTTTTCGAAGCTTTTCTCCAACGAACAAGAACTCGAACAAAAGATAATGATGGAACACGATCAAACAGATTCCAACTCGTGTGAAAGGCCAATTGGTATATGAAACCAATCAAACAATCACCCACTCGTGAATAAGGCCAATCGCTATTGGGTAGAAGCTCGCCACAACTAGACGCGTTCTCTAGTTGATAAGAGACACGTGAAACTCCTGGAGCACTCTCAACAGAAGCTTGCACAAAGAACTAGTTCGTATGAACTTGTAACTTGAAAGTTGATTGATAATTGAATGAGTTACAATGAGGAACTCAGCCTCTTATTTATAGACTAGCTAACACAAATCCAAAGCTTAAAATGAAAAACAAATCCTACAAGTAAAAGGAAAAACACAATCCTTAAAAGACAAGTAAAAGGAAAACACAATCCTTAAAAGACAAGTAAAAGGAAAACACAATCCTTAAAAGACAAGTAAAAGACTTGGTCAACAACTCCCTAGATTCTAGCCTTGCAATCCTCCCTCACATGGCTTGTGTTCACACCTGATATTCCTTTCACACTTGTACTCCTTTTCACACCTTGTGTTCACACCATGGGAGATCTTCCTTCCTTCTACCAAGCCCATCTTCTCTTCATTCTAGTCCATAAATCGTAGCAATGTGATGGACTTTCCTTCTAGCAAGTCCACGTCCATCAAGAATGATCCCATTTGATCCTTGTATCGTCGTACTCGGACCTTCATCTTTGGACCACGAGAATTATATATTCTGCCAATGGATTTCACATCAACAAACTCGTAGGCCATGCTTGAAATGACCTTTTCTTCCACCTTGAATGCTTCCAAGCTCTCTTTAAACCTCTTAAATCGTCTCTTGAACCATGGTCCATGTAGATATCTAGTTTGAGCTCGTGTGACGTCATGCGGGGTGAGCGGGGTCGCATCACCGTGTGGCTTCCTCAGCGCCTAACCACACGTCCAATCTTCGTCCAATCAACCCCAAACTCGCTCCCAAGCCTTCATTCACGTACTAGGACCTGAAATATCACAAACAAGCACAACCTAGCGTGAAATCGGCCTAAAACACGAGAATCCATATCTCAAATGGTGTAAGAATTGGGGTAAAAACATGTGCAATTAACGGTCTATCAAACTCCCCCACACTTAACCGTTTGCTTGTCCCCAAGCAAACCAAGTCAGACACAAGGTAAGCTCACATTTTCAATCATACCAACATTGGGGACAAATCATATGGGCACAGAACACGGGAATCGTACTGGTTTTCAACATCAACACATGAGCAACTTCACTAGCAACCTGGACAACCACCACAAAGGACATTCGAGTGCAGCAAAATCGAGTAAAGGAAGAGTCTCCCTTCTGTTCACCAACCAACCTAAATTTGACTCAACCACTTACTCAAAACAGTCACCTCATGCACAAAACTCAAGATATCAGAATAGAGACCGAGCAATCTAGGTCCTCACTGGGGTACAAGAGTATATAGAATATGAGAAAATCAATCGCTCACTCTCGACCAGTGGGGTCAGGACAATTTGATGCGAAAAATGCGCATGCTTATTCTCTCAATCCCTAACATCTCTTCACCATGACGGCAGCCTCTAAATGCTAGAGTTCACATATGAGGTGTCACCACTAACTAATCCGGAGGTCTTAGACACAGGTTCAAATGACTGGCTAGGGTCTTGGACATGGGGAAAAGGCCTTTTAGGTGGTGGAAGTATTCATAGCACAAGGTTCCACATTTCCAAACCCACACAATCACAGTCAATCAAACTAGTATTTCCTTTCTGCCATTCTGCATTACTCAAATTCTCAAAAGCACAAGAGTGAAGGAGGTTATATAAATGTCAGCATTTCCAAGCCAGACTGCTAAAAAACACTACTTACTGGGCACTATTTGGATTTTTGGTAGTGGCTCTCTTTTGCTTTCATTTTTGCTTTGTTTTTCTTTCATTTTTTTCTCATTTCTTAAGAGAACCACCACCTCTGCACATATTTCAAACACATGCCCAACTTTTAAGCACTACCTCCAACCCTCACATTAAATTTAGCAGAAACAGCAGAGAACATGTAAAAACCACTCTGTGGAACCTTCTAAAAGATGCAAAAGGGTGATTTTCCATTGTAGACCGAAAGAAAGGATACACATGGCTCAAAGGGGCTGACTAGGGGGTATGACACACTAGGACAGTCAGTTTGGTCGTGGGCTAATCCTATGCCTCCATCATCTTAGCTAATGACAATGTGAATGCTACACATCATGGAAGAGGGAACTATCGCACAAGAAAGAAACGAGCAGGCTCAAATCTCACATGGCTACCTATATGCTATCTCTTATTCTGATTCCCTGAACTAGATGCATAAACGACTGTCAAGAACAAGTGATCAATCCAAGTCACAGTTGGTAAGCAAACAGTTGAAAAACTGAACCCCTACACAACTCTACTGCACGTCTCAGTCATCATTATAGGTTGTCCTAGTCACAATCAAGCTGTCATGCATCAATCCGAAAACCATTCAATTCATCAAGCAAAACACGGTTCCAATATGAGTAAACAGCAGTACTTAGAGCCCTCAAATCGTAATATTCGGACAGCGGACTAGGCTCCAAGCACACATATATAGATTCCAACCGATACAAAGCACCCCCCCCCCACACTTAAGCACGACATTGCCCTCAATGGAGTAGAGGGAGAGATAAGGGGGAACGATGTTACCGGATTGAAATACTGCCGGGGGACTGGAAGTGGACCAGTCAGCGGGTAACAAACGGGAAGAGGGACAGTTCTGCACGAATCGAACATCAAGAACACACTAGCACATTGTGCGTTAGGGATCAGTAGCCTAGCCGGCCACAAAATAAACAATCATCAAAAGAAAAAGAAAAACACAAACAAACGACAAACTAAGTTCAAGCTCCGTACACATGGAGCAAACACACAAAAGTCTGAAATGAAAACACACTGAGAGGGGCAACGAGTACAGCCTACTCGTCGCCAAGGTTATCTAGGTCGATGTCGTTCATGAAAGCGTCATCGTCATCCGCTGGTGGAGGCGGAAGTGGAGAGTCTTCCCAGGGAGTCCTCCAGACTGGCGGCTCGCCCGGTAGCAGCTGGAGCAGGTTTTGCTGGACCTCCTGCATGAGCCTAGATTGAGCCTTCTCTCGCTCGATATGAGCCAGTGTCACCCCCTGCTGGGTCGCCATCATGTCCATGCGCTCATCATAGGCAGCCATCCAGTTCTGGTACTCGGCCTAGTGAGCCGCATACTGCTGCTGGAACTGGAGCTGCTGGTCAAAGAGCTGCCGGTTCCGGATACGCAGCTGCTCGAACTGGTGAATGAAGTAGTCCTGACCGGGGAAAGCGGAGCTGCCACCCCCGTACTCGAAGGTGGTGGGGCAGGGGACGGTAGCATCATCCACATCCTCGGACTCCACATCATCAGCAGCCTCATCCTCCGGATCCTCGGGCTGGTCCTCCTCTGGGATCTGAGGTTCCGGAAACCCCTCGATCCACATGATGCCTCGGTTCTCTCGCAACAGGTGCATGTGATGAATCGTCTCTCTGCCAAAGACACTGGTGCCCCCTGCTCTGTGCACCCCTGCAGTGATAGCCCGAAGTAGGTGGCCAGGCGGGTGATGAGGGGAGTGCAGTGGAGGCTCTTCAATTCAGAAGCACTCTTCTCAAAGGTTCTGGCCACCACAGAACCCAAGTGGAGAGGATGGTCATCCTGGCGGATAGACTGTATGAAGTACATGGCTCTCCGGGTGATGGCGCTTGCACTGTCCGAAGCTGGGGTGTAGGACTTCGCCAGCAGATGGTGGAGAATGCGGTTGTCGAGCTGCAGGGTGCTGGCCTTCGTCTTCCCTGCCAGGAAAGGACGCTGGCCTGGCTTAGCAAGGTGGGTGTACAACGTCTTGAAGTTCACGCCCATCGGATCGTTAAGCTCGGTGACGTAGTCCTCACCATCGGCCAGGCCGAGGTCGATAGCAGTGGCCAGCTCGTGGTAGCTCATGGACCGGGGCACACCGCCGAGCCGGAACTTGACGGCTTCACTGTCTGTCCAATTCTCTGTGGAAGCGTGCTTGAAGGTTGTGTAGAACTCCAGCACGGGCTCGTGGTAGACTTTCTCGCGGATGGAGAGCAGACGGCGCCACGGCCGGTTAGTGACGATGGCGGAGAAGTGCTCGTAGCAGTTCAACTTCTCAAACTCCCGCCTGGACCAGCAGTGGTGCTGCCCAAACGAGCATGAGAGGACGTGCTTAAAACGATCCTGGTGCGGGCCCCTCTTCAAATCCCGGATGAACGAGTGTTTGAGGTCAGGCTTCGTCATGGTCCTGCAAAAGAACAACCCAAAGTGGAACCAAAAGAGCCAAAGAAAAGGTTAATCACACCCCCACACTTAAGAACAGAAAACAGCCTAACCATGGTTTCATCCATAGTTCGGGGCTCAAAAACTCGATCAATCAAGCATAATCGGAGTGGGGGTGCACATTCACGATAAATTAGGCAGCTTAAGGTTCACATCCATAGCAAATACACCCTCAAAGCACATCATTAAGGGCCCCAACCAGTGCTCACAACATGGCATGAAAAACATGCATTTCATCGAACACCTTGTGTGCACTATTAAGGTAAGCATGAAATTGACAAAATTCTTGCACACAAGGGCTCAATCATGCAAGGGGGGCATTGCCCAACATAATTCATACATAATCCAAGCATTCCCCTCAATCAATTGCACACAATTCACATGATTCAAAGTGGTTCTCTAAACATGCACCCTAACACCCAATTCTCCATAAAAAACATAGTTAAGGTCAAAATCAAACCTGGAGACTCAAGTAGAGGTGTAGGGGATGATGAGGGGAAGGCAATGGAAGCGACGAAAGGCCGAAAAAATGCCCGGAAGTGCTCGTCGGAGCCTCGCAGGAGTCTCGCCGGAAATCGCCTCCGGTGACTCAAAATCGCTCCAAATCACCTCAAAATCGAGGGATAGGCCGATAATGGGGAGGAAAGGGTGGGTGTGGTGTTGGATTTGTGAAAAACCGACCAAAAAATGGTCGAAAATTGGCAAAGAGAGCGAAAAGTCGCGGTTTTACGGCGAGGGGGAGAGGATTCCGGCGAGTGAGATTTGATTTTCTGACCACTCGGCCGTGTCGGCCGAATTTATAGCCCGTGGCTCGGCCACAAGGGCAAGCTCACATGGCTGTGTGAGCTGCACAGGTGCCCGTGTGTGGCGACACGGTCAGGCCGAGGATTTCCACACGGCCGTGTGAGTTGCACATATGGCCGTGTGGAAAATGCCGAGGCTTCACACGGCCAAGGGGTCAAAACCACACGGCCGTGTGAGCATCAGTGTTGCTCGTGTGGGCCACACGGCCTGGCCGAGGGAATCCGCACGGCCGTGTGGGTTGCACACTTGGCCGTGTGGAATTTGCCGAGCCTTCACACGGCCAGGGGCTCAAAACCACACGGTCGTGTGAGTTTCATGCATGGCCGTGTGGATTGCTGGAACCCCGAATTCAACCTGTTTTCACTAAAAAACGACGTTCGACCTGGAACAACACCTCAAAACCCAAAAACACAAAAAAAATCAAAAGGAAAAAGGTAAGAAAATGCAAACCTAGGTGGGGTTGCCTCCCCACAAGCGCTACTTTACCGTCTTTTAGCTGGACGCCGGTATGGTGGATGCTTAGTGAGGTGAAGGAGCAGGTGCCTCCAAGAACGGATCCACATCGCTCTTGAGGTACAGCTTCAGGTGGTGGCCATGCACCCGACGAATGTGGCCACCAGCACTCGTCAACTCGACCTGGCTATCCGGCAGGATGCAAGCGAGTGAATACTCGGATGGCCAAGGCGGTCGAGGCTCGGGAGGCGGGACCAGCTCATAGTG